TAAGGAACTTATCAACTACACACAAAAGCTACGCTCTGTGCATGAAGCCTGAAGCTACAGTATCTATAGATATTGTTACATTGACCAAGAAATACCCGTTATACCGATGATAGCGAAGCATTGTTTTCATATACATTGCATTCAAGTTGCTGTTATTTAATTCTTCCTTCACCTTTTCCGTGGCATAATGTCAGGGGAACATAAATTTTCTACAAATCAAACCCTTGCTATCATTAATTAATATAATAAAATGCAGTTCGTGCCTGAATCTCACCATAGGTGAATAAATGTTTAAGCGTAAAATTAGTGCAAAAAAAAGGTTTAAGCGTAAAATAAGTGCAAAAAAATGTTTAAGCGTAAAATTAGTACAAAAAGGTTCATGTAACCTTGAATCTAAACTGTACTTGCCGCCTTGTATGGCCTGGAAATTTCACCTTCGTATTTGTAGCAGCGACGCGTGACACCTGCTGAAGTGAGAGACACTCAGAAAAATGAATTGGTCATATTCAACTCCAAAATATTTTATGAATGTGTCCCATGCCTATTTTATTACAAGACTTCTCTTTAACTTCACTTCTTGTTTGTTCGTCTGTCTGTCTGCTACAAGTCTTATAATCGATATTTAACACACTTCTACCTGTCCAATCGATCTGAAAATTTGCACATTTGCGTAAAGTTGGAGACAATGCATGAATCAATTTACAGAATAAATAATTTTATAAATTAAAAATTTTATTTTTATTATAAAAAAAATAATTTCGTCTGCTACAAATCTTATAATCCATATATGACACAATTTGACCTGTCCAATTGATTTGAAATTTTGCACAATTGCATAAAGTCAGCGACAATGCATGAATCTATTGACAGAATAAATAATTTTGAAAATTTCAAAATTTGGATATATTAAAAAAATTTTGAAAAATAATTTTTTTTTCAACATTTGAAAATAAAATTAGAAATTCATTGTACATGTGCAACATTCAAGACACTGGATTGTTCAGAAGTGTTGTCTTTAAAAAGTAATTTTCAAACGCATATTATTTTATATTCTAAGGTATAATATATTTGTCTCTTAGCGTTTGATCGTGTTCACAAGCAGAAATTGCTTGTGTTCAGTTCAAGACTATAGTAATATGTCCGGTAATTTTTTTATTTATTCTTGGGTATAATATATTTAAGTCTCCTATCGTTTGATCGCGTTAACTAGAAGATATCGCTTGTGTTCAGTTTAATACTATAGTAATAAGCTCAGTAACTTTTTTATATTCTAAGGCATAAAATATTTAGGTCTCCCATTATTTGATTGCTTGTGTTCAGTTCGAGACTATAGTAATATGCCCGGTAATTACAACACTTCTCTTTAACTTCACTTCTTGTTTGTCTGTCTGTCTGTCTGTCTGCTACAAATCTTGTAATCGAAATTTAACACAATTCTACTCATCCTATCGATCTGAAATTTTGCACACTTGCGTAAAGTTGGAGACAATGCAAGAATCCAATAACAAAATAAATGATTTTAAAAAGTAATTTTTTTTTCAATATTAAAAAAATTGAAAAATTAATTTTGTCAGCTACAAATCATATAACTGATATTTGACACACTTTTGCCTGTCCAATTGATCTGAAATTTTGCACCCTCGTGTGAAGTCGGACGCAATGAATGAATCAATTGACAGAATAAATAATTTTTAAAAAATTTTATTTATTTAAAAATTGAAAAAAATAATTTTTTAACATTTGAAAATAAAATGAGAAATTCATTGTATATCTTTAACATTGGAAAAACTGGATTCTTTAGAAGTGTTGTCTTTAAAAAGTAATTTTTAACGCATATTTTTTAATATATTCTAGGGAATAATATATTTAAGTCTCCTATTAATTGTTTGATCGCGTTAACTAGAAGACATCGCTTGTGATCAGTTTAAGATTATGGTAATAAGCCCAGTAACTTTTTTTGTATTCTAAGGTATGATATATTTAAGTCTCCTAACGTTTGCTCGTGTTGACAAGCAGAAATTGTTTATGTTCAGTTCAAGACTATAGTAATATGCAAAGGATTTTTTTTATTTATTCTAGGGTATAATATATATAAGTCTCCTATCGCTTGATCGCGTTAACTAGAAAATATCGCTTGTGTTCAGTTTATGATTATAGTATTAAGCTCAGTAACTTTTTATATTATATGGTATAATATATATAGGTCTATTAACGTTTGATCGTGTTCACAAGCAGAAATTGCTTGTGTTCAGTTTAAGACTATAGTAATATGCCCGGTAAGTTTTAATTTATTCTAGTGAATAATATATTTAAGTCTCCTATCGTTTGATCGCGTTAACTAGAAGTTCTTTAAAAAGTAATTTTTAAACGCATATTATTTAACTTTCCGATACAATACTGTTCAAATTTGGAAACATTTTAGGAAAGTATAGCACTGACACGCCATTTTTCCTGGCTAATATGGGTCCGGATGAAAAGTGCGTTACATTTTGGACAATTTCTCCCTCCTTTTTCAGAGTGCCCGCTCGCATAATACAGTTTTTACAGCTCACAAGCAAGCCGCAATGGCGTCACTCTCTTGTCTCACCGTCAGGAATTATGGTAACATTGTAGCAGTACCGTTGAGGGATCCATGGTCATAGGAATTTTTATTGAATGGTGTACTAATTTGTTGCCAAATTCACAGTGAATTCAGAGTTCAACCGTTCCAAATTAAGATGGTATAATAGTCTTAATCATTTTCGAAAAGTACAAAATGAGCGCAATTTGCATCTCATTTGGTACTTCTCATAATTTAAAAAGCTTATTGACTCTAATACTCAATTATATAAATTGAAATGAGAATATTGGGAAATGCTTTTGCTTTTAAAACAATTTTATTGGAAGTACACAGCAAGTCGTTAAAACAACATCAGTGCAAATACAGTTACATATATTTAAAGTGTCTGCAAATCATATAGACTCACTCAACAATTAAGCTACATCACTTAGCTTATATAAAATTCTGAATTTACATTAGATTCCAGCGGTAGAAATGGTAGTATATCTTACATAGGTTCAGTGGGCATCTTTCCTTAATTGTGGCGGTTCCTTGCCATCTTTTTACTCTTGGTAGACAACTGACATTCAGGCACGTGTATTATGCACATCATGCGTATCGTTCGTATCATGATGATCATGCGTATCACGCGTAAGATGCAAATCATGCGTTTGAGTTGCCACCATACTAAGGGTTGACGAATTACATGGAATGAAAGCTGTCACCTAAGGTTACATTGTTCACAGTTCCTACAATAATTTCGTACTTTTCAAGTCGGTCTGTAAATATTTTTCACGTTCAATCGTAGTAGGTGAATTTTTCTGCTAATAATTTCGGGTTTATCGCTGACGTTGACAAAATATTTGTTCATATAGCAACTGCATTTCTCGATCCCAACGAATTCAAAATTTTAATTTTGGTTTGGACCTAAAAATGATGCGAACTTTTATCATCATCATCACGATGCATGATGGATTCCTACTTATGTATTATAATTACCTGAAAGATGATCGATTCAAACAAATTAATGTATTTCTAATACGCCGAGGATGATCGATTACTGTGTTATCATTATGGCGGGATGACCGATTTCGACTATCAATTATTACGTCGAAGAAGGTCTTAGAATCTACAGCGCGATTACTGCGTCGAGAATGGTCGGTTTAAACCCATTTATAATCATCAAATCGAGGATCAGAGATAGATTCAAACTACTTTATTATTATTAAGTACCTTCATCTGTATCATTATGTCAGGACCTTCAATGATTTTTATAAAAGCATACAATTTAAGACCCAGCAAAGAATCCCGTAAATGGTTTCCTTAATTGATGGACCTCCGCAGATCAGAAAAAATGAACTGATGTCATAAGCAAACACATATTTTTAATGTTGTGAACAAATTAAAAATATTAAATTATATTCAAATATTTAAAATTTGAACAATTACAATTTTGTATAAAGTGTTAATAGCCTGCAAGAGGGCTGAGAAATGAGAAATTCGCGATCTGGAACAATGCTGCGATCTATTTTCTCATGAATGGTTTAAGAAACAACACAAATTTGAAATGAATATGTGAAAAAATATAGTAAGTCCAGAAAACTTATCGTTTTTAGCCGGAAATGGTATTGACTGAAGTTGATATTGTTTTATATTCATGGTTTAAATCGTGCGATGAGATCAGCACACCGATGCAATTATAATCTATATGTGAACATAATATTATAATCTATATGTGAACATAATATTATAATCTATATGTGAACATAATATTATAATCTATATGTGAACATAATTTCACGGTCGGGTAACGACCCTGAGACGATGGTGCGCTCGCGGCTTCAGAGAATAAAAGGTTAGCAAGTTTTTAAACAGTCTCGTTGTGGTCATTATAGGAAGTAACCAATCACACGTATGCCGCCTTCCTAAGTTCTGGACAGTCATGGTTTTTTGCTGCGAACGACGTATAATTCGCGTGTTTACGACAAAATGTTCAGACTTTATACGCTCAGATTATTACGCCGATTGAATCCTTTGCTGGTAAAGTATTGGAAACTTCCTTGTTTTGTACGACTGCCTTTGGGCAAGCGGAATAAAAAACAGTTTGTGGTTGCAGAAAATTATACAAAAACTAAGATTTTTGCGTTACATCTCTGACATTGCGCTCGATTTTTCAATCCCCACTTAGATAGCTCAAATTTACGTATATTCATATCAAAACAACCGCGTAATTTGAAACAATTTTCCAGTAACTTGGTTGTTTTTCTCGCTTTCCAAGAAAACAAAAGTATATATTTCGATCGCTAACATGGCGCCGAGATATTTTCGTTGAATTGCATGGGCGATTTTTTAGTTTATCATTTATGCTGGTCGTAGCAAAGTTTCTTTATATATTTTCATGCAGCAATTTCCTTGCGATATATTTTTTTACCAAGAGGGTATCAAAAATATTTTATGAAATTTACAATATATATTCAATAAAGAATTTGGCATCACAAAATACACGAAGTTCGAAACCTGTAACGTTGCATATAATCGTAAACGTTATACGCAAAACAGAGGAACGTACGTCCTTGGCTCCATACATAAACAAATTAAAAATGCAAGACAGATATGAAAAAATGTTCAATGATCTCTGCATCCTTATTGTTTATAACTTGTTTATAACGATGTTAGTAATAAACTGTACCAAACGTTACATTAAAGTTTGGCAATTATGCAATAATAACAATTAGGAAAATACCGGGTTTCAGATATTCGCCTATCTCGCGAAAAAAGGACTAAAGCAATTAGGTTTTTCATAATGTGATTCTGGAATTTTTCCATTAAACTGACCGAAAAAATGTCTCTGATAATTTCAATAATATCCATACGAGTGAATTTCTTCATCGTTGAAGCTCCGATTCCGATTCCGCATCAAGGATTCCCATATTCAAATACAACAATTTACGGACCATTTTATGGTGTATGTGAACACTAAGATTACATAATAATAAATTAAGAATTTTGCCCTAGCTGCTTGACAATTTGGTGAGCATTACAAACGACACATTACAAACCATTAGACTATTCCCTTATTGATTTCGGCTGCTGTATATGTTGGCAGGTCAGAAATCATACACATGCTACGTTTTTCACGGTTGTTCATGTACCTATTCACATAAGTCCGTGAGTTGTTGTTATGCAAACTAGAGAATTTAATTCGAGTAGATTAAAATATTTTGATGTCAGATCGCATTTATGTGAATAATAGTCCCAAATAATAATACAAATTCTTATACTATTACATACACTTATTCAACTGAATTAAACCTCATTGATGAACTCTCTTGAACAGCGAATATCACTTGAAATGTCTGGAGTGGCATAAGCACAGTTTATCCAAGTAATTTCGAAGTGTTTCATTTTTTGTCTCTATGAATTTACACCGTTTATAAATTTTATTCAAAATATGGTACACGTTTCACGCGTTCCCGGCAAATTTATTCAGATCAAAAGATTTTTTCAAGTAATGGCAATGCGTCGGACGCGCGTCACAGGCACGCACTAACTACGCTGGCCTTCCACATATGAGAGCAGATCACGTGTCAGACACCATAAGACCGATATCATTGGCTGACCGCTGATATCATAAGGCAAAAATCCTAATACTGACGGCATTACACCACCAAAGGCCAGCCATAATGACACCGGCATCAAATTCATATGGTAAGTAACTGCTCAACTGCTCGGAACAATTCGCGACATAGAACCTCATTTTTACTATCGATAGCTCACTCACTGAATAACATTCACTTAATTTTTTTACGAAATTGATAGCTTGATATATAATTTGTTACTGTCCTGTATCGCATGCCTGCGATTGCTCCCTTGAATCCTTGCGATGAGGATTTGCGATTCAGCACGCTGATGGGTCGTTTTTCGGAATTAGTTTCGCTATTTACACACTTTTTGGGAGCAATTAGTTGGTCGTGTATTATACTCGCATATCATCACACCAAACGTGAGACCTATTCTCTATAGCAGGTTTTTATTCATCGACGTTTTCCTGGTTTTCGGGTTTTTCGCCTGACGCTGGCTGCTGATAATCATATTCGTCATCAACATGGCGCTCGTCCTCCGCTTCGCCTGGATGTCCGTATTGCCCACGTAACTCTCGTTCGTCCTCTGTAATGTACACGATTCCTTTAGAAAATTGATCATGAGACACGTCTTCATAATCTGTCTCTTGATCTTTGCCATCGAGATTAATAGTAGCAATATTCTGTTCATTTTCTTGAGACATCTCGTACTTGGGAGTAATGTCTTCATGGTCCAAGTGATGTGCAGGCGGTTCAGAATTAGTAACCACAGATAAATTAACGTCTCTGTATTCCTTCTCTTCTGGGCGATCAGTAAGTAGTCGGGGTGTTGGTTCAACGTAAGGGACGTGTTCTTGATCATCCTTTTGGCCTTCAGTTCTTGGTTCGGGTTGCGTAGGCTCGTGTGTAAACGTGGCTCTTTTAGCTGGAAGGTTCGATATTTCTGCATGGCTTGTAGGATTGCGTCCTGCATCTTCGAACTTGATTTTATGTTCCTCGAGATCAGACACGACATGATGGCCGGGCTCATGTTCCGCACTCTCACTTCCTTCGATGTAAACTACGTTTCTCTTGCCCTGGGTGAGGTGACCGTCACTCGTCGTCTCCAGTTTTTTGAACATACTTGGCGGCTTTTTCTTTCTATAATTTTGTTGCGTTTCATAAAGGTTTGTTGCGTGGTTTTCTCCCAGGGAAGATCTTACGTAAAATGCTTGGTCATCAAGGCTGGCCATCGTCGGATTTCTTGGCTCAGGTTGTACTCCAGAACTAAAATCAACGGAGCCGTACGTTAAGGGCTGTGCAACAGTAATTCCATTGTCCAGTTTGATGGGAGTGTAAAAAACTTCGTCGTTAAAATTGGATCTTTTTGAAACTGTTGAATGACTTTTGCTAAAATCGTAAAAATCTTTTCGGGAATGACTGAATTCGTGACCGAATTCGTGTCCTATGGGCTTAAAGTTTGAAGAGTCTTGACTTCCGGCATGCCCAAAATTTGAGGGACCAACGAAGTCTGAGATTTTAGTATTATGAGGTTGATGAAATTTATTACCGCGGTCTTCAAGGCTAGCAGACTGGTATAAAATATCGCTGGAATCAACGGTGTGAGCGTGACCCTTATTGTTGGAGCCAGAATTGTGTTGCGAATATGGCTCCTCACCATCGAAAGAGTAGCTTTCTGACTGAACATCTTCTAAATTGAAAGCATCGCCTTTTAAATGCCGAACGTGATTTCCCCTGTTGAAATTTTGTTTTCCAGAATTGAAATCATGGCCTCCTGAATTTGAGCTGTGGCGCACATCTTTGAAATTTGGACTGCCATATTGGTTGACATGATCTCCAGGGTGGTCGCTCTCATGACCTCCTGATGTAACAACGTGATCACCTTCAAACCCGTGATTTCCGGCTGAAGTTGAATGATACGAACCTAACCCTCCTGATTGTATTACACGCTGTCCAGAACCGAAATTGTATCCCGATTGAATTATGGTGTCATCTGACCCGATACTTTGGGTTTGAGGCTTTGAAAATCCATCACTCACACCAGCACCATGACCTCCAAAATGAGAGAACGATTCTCGGTGATTCACATCAAAACTAAAGCCAGGTTCCACTATTTCAGCATCACCTTTCAGTCGTTGCGTTTCAGGGATGCCAAAATCATACTGGACGTTATAATCGAGATCCAAAGTATCCGAATCGAAATGCCCAATGTTGGAACTTTTCACTCCTACGGGGCTATAAGTTGTATCCGAATCAAAATGCCCAATGTTGGAACTTTTCACTCCTACGGGGCTATAAGTTGTATCCGAATCAAAATGGCCAATGTTGGAACTTTTCACTCTTACGGGGCTATAAGTTTCCTTTCCTGACTCCTGTGGATGATGATCCGAGGTTTCTCCGAAAACTTGAGTTGCATGATAAGCCAGTGGATAATCTTCATCAAATTCAATTTGTCCTTTGTTACTCGAGGTGTGGTCATAGTCGAGATGTTCATTATAGGAATCGGAAGTGACGTGAGCTGGGCTGCTTCCACCATGTGGAGATAGATGACCTTGAGGAAAGTAAGAGTCGTCCCTAACAAAGGAATGAGAGCCATGAGGGAGACGAAGGCTGCCGCCCCCTGGACGGCGGAAAAGGTTTTCGTGATCACGGTAAGAAACGCCAGAGTTGCCTCCAGCGTAATCCTCAGCTGCAAAAATTTCACCGTTATTGTCCCATCCTGCTGGCAAGCCGGAACTGACATGAGTTTTCTGTATTCTCTTTGGCAAATTGTCGTGATATGAACCGGGAAGTAGGCCATGAGATCGATCAGGGTGATGGTAGTGTGTGCGTTTCAAATTATTCCGATGTTGCGAAATATCCTGTTTGATCCCAACTTGTCTTCCAGGAATATTTTTGTTCTGCACATGAGTTTGCGTCATGTACTCAGGAGCAGGTCTCTGCAAATGGCTCTTCCTTGCACCTTCTCGAATATTTGTAATCTGAGGCTGAAATTTGCCAGTATCATGCTTGGACATTGGAGATTTTTCATCGACACCTTCGTGAATAGTTTCGTCTAATATGGGTTTCTTTTGGATGAGCGGATATGCCAATTGTTCCTGCTTGATTCTTCGCTGGTTCTCAAGCATGAATCGAGCAAACGAACTTTGTTCCACAATTCCAGAAGGATACGTGTCTTGGAAAGAATGATGGTCGCCGAAATTCCCCAGAGGGATCTTCCGATTTTGTCTCATTTTGGTGATGGCAGTATCTTCTCTTAGAGAAGATCGTTGTCTGGATTGCACCGGGGACGAAGCTGAATTGCGATGAATTGGATTTGATCGTCTCAATCTATGATGACCAGCCAAGGTTTTTTGTAGCCGTTGGTGCTCAATCAAATGATTGTTATTTGGCTTCAAATCTGAATTTGGTAATGAATGATGTCGAAGATTTTGACTTGCAGGTGAACCATGCCTCAGTTGTTGCATAGGCGGGTGGTTGCTACGTGTTATGGGCCGTTGCACGCTCTCTGACTCGACTTGTTGGGGCTCCCATGTCCACGTCGGACTTGGATAGACCATGACTGGCGCCACTACGTAAGGCCGGTGATCGTCTAATGTGTTGTCAGGAAATGTGATTTTGTCCAGTTCAGGAGTTAATGACTCTATGTTCCACGCTGGCACATCTTTTGTACTGTCCACGTAGTAAGCGTCAAGGGATGCTAGGTGTACGATGCACAACACCACTAGGTGTCTCCATCTCTGGAATGCGAGAGAAAATTGGTGTTAATTTTGAAGAATTGAGGGAAACAGTGTCAGAAAATTTAACTAAGAACTAAAACATTATAGCTGGTGGCAAGGGTGTCATTTAAAAAAAAATTTTATAAACTATAAATTTGTAAATATAAATTCTAAAAAAATAAAATAAAATTTTTTCAGCAATTATTAATCGTTTTGTTTGTGGACATCGCAAGATTGGAAACGCTAAGCTGGACGTAAATCGCCATCAGTGCTACCGACAGGTCCCTGAGCCGAGGCTATTCATAGACGTTGGTGTGGATGTGGCTGACATCGCGGCAGGGCTGAAGAAGTGTTCGAAAGCGTCTAAAGTCATACAGCTTGATTTGATGAAACATGACTTAGGTTATTTATCGCTACGCTACTGCGTTTTGTGATAGATAGTCAATCTACCATGAAATTAATGCGAGATAAATAAAATTAAATAAAGTTTAAACATACATTTGTATGAAAAAACGCTGATTTTTCAATTAATTATGGTATTTATCGCTACTGCGTTTTGTGATAGATAGTCAATCTACCATGAAATTAATGCGAGATAAATAAAATTAAATAAAGTTTAAACATATATTTGTATGAAAAAACGCTGATTTTTCAATTAATTATCGCAAAAAACGTGAAAAAACAGTTTCGAAATAAAATAATTGCATGACAAGTTTTGGGTACTTCTAAGACATTTTAATGGTCATGGAAAAATCCAGTTTGCTTTTAAAATAAAATTTCGCTAATAAAAAAACACAAAGGAAAGACACAAAATTTGGATTGTGATTTATCTTAAAGCGGAGTACTTTATATTAAATTACTCTATTCCTTCATCAATTGCTCTGAAAAGAATTAAACTATCAACCTTTTAAGTTGTTATGAACCACTGGTTCCAGTTAGTTATTTAAAGATGCCTTTTTGGAAAAAAATCGGGACACTTTCAGGACATTTGAAGCCTGCGTTGATATTATCTATCGCTTAATAAATTCATTGAGCATTTCATGAAATCATGTTCATTACACGACCCAAAAACGGTTGATTCGAACACTCCAAACTCTGTGAAAATTAACGATACTTTTCAAGAAATTCACATTTTTCAGGTATGAAACTAAGCATCACTTACAACAAGCATGGCTGTAGCCTGCTAGCACCGATCGGGCGACTTTCGTACGTAACGAAGAGCTGACGGAAACTAAGTTGACTACTGCGATACTCCTGCCTCGGCAGATGATTTTTGACCAACGGCTTAACTTTCGCTGACCACGTGTAGAAGCCGAACAAAAACTGGAATGGGCGCATCAATGTTGCATGTGGATTACCTGACAACTTTTTAGGAGCTTCATGATAATCGAAGTTTTGCGCGGGGTGGAGAAGCAATAGAAACCTGGAAGGTGCTGGTAGTTTTACGAACATAAATGTCCGTAAAACTAAAAAAGGCCGAAGAGAGTTTCAATGAGAAAAAAAGACAAATTTCAAATAAAATATAATAAACGAATACGTGGTAGCCCTAATAAATGAGTTGCTGCTACGACATAGAGAGCATAGGCATAAATGCACCAAAATCAAATTTTGATAAGAAATGAAGTTTTGCTGAAAAATATATTCAAACCTATTATATTTTCAATGATAGACGGGAAATTCAATACGAGTCATTGGCTAGAGACGCCCAGAATCCAATAACGGCAGTCACTAAGCCAGAGATAGAGAGTTGACGAGAGTTATGTCGCTCAGGAAACTGGATTAACAACTTTCATTGTCAGGAGTGTGGAAATGAGCAACTTGAAGCAGTAACTCATTGTTGCGTTACCCATTGTTAATTTAAGTTTAATCCTGCAGCAAAAATCCATCACATTTTCTACAAAATTTCGCAATCTTTGACATTAGCTCAAATGCGACATCATTGTACATTTTGTAATCCTATATAGCTGGTATGTAAATGTCACTTTCTTTCTCTCTTGAATCAACATTTGCTGCTTTTGTACACTTTGCTCCCTGTCGCATGTTTGACGTCATTTTTCGCAAATCGATTTCAAATGAATCCTATTAAAATGTGTATGTTTTACATCACAGATTTTATAGGATTATAAGTTGTATGACAATGATCTAACATGTTATTGCTTACAAAATCCAATTTAGCGATGTGCCAATCGCTTGAAAAGATGGCCAAACTGCTAAAAAGTTTGTGGAATGGGCCGATATATTTACTGTGCTTCTTCTCGTTGCAGTATAAGTCCCTCATCTTGTAGAAACTGATCGCATCTACTTCATCGGCCTGGGTTTGTAATCTGGAATGCATGAAAATTTTTCTCTAGATGTTTTTTTACTGTCCAGCTAGGTTATTGACTGACACCAATTATTTTATACACATGGTTTTTTTTGCTATACATATCATAACCAACGTATTTATCGTATAATGTAGGAATCCATGACAATTCACGTGATAATTAAAAACCAGAAGCAGAAATTCAAATTTTTAGCAACTCTGCATCAGGTTTCGTGCTCGTGATTTGCTCTTTAAATAACATATCTAGCGCTTTCACTTGTCTAGCCTATTGATGAGTTAACCTGGTACGCCTTCTTCTGTAGTCGAAAGTGCAGAAAAACTGTAGTTACCTGACGCATCTTCAGGTGGGGTGCAGATGACCGCTATGCTCATTTATTCTGTCTTAAGAGCAAGCGGACTCAGAGGGGCGATTGGTTTTTTTCGGCTAGAAAAAGAGACACAATTCTTACTTTCCTCACAGGCCGCAACGCGAAGCTGCGTGGTAACGAAGCTGTGAGCAAATGTTTTTATCTATTAGTGCGTATATCAACTTTCATTTTCGAGCAATTGTGTAATGTGTGAAGTTAGGGTTATAGTTAATTAATAGCAAGCAGATACATGCATATTTCAATAGTAATTACATTACAGTAATTACATTACATGCCTTTTTCATGTCGCCTACGGGCGCCTCTTTCATGTCTACCTCTAAACGCAGTCGTAATTCAAATATATACTGAATAAGAAGCAAGGTTTTCATGAGTTCCCACTTTGAAAATTAGCAGCAAAGACACAACAGATTAGGCTTGAAACTAAAGATTTCTGCTTTATAAAATGCTAAAATGCAGAAGATTTTTGTTCTAAATTTCTTCAGTTCAAGTTGGACATCAGTAGCTGACACCAATAGAGGATGCGCAGTGGGAAGTTCACTCGATCAGTACACCAAAACATTAAAAAATATAACTTATTACTCACTGTAGTGAGTGACAGAGAGCGCATTTTCTCGTCCACGAAAACATGAAGTCGCGGACGGATAGACAGACGGACAGACAGACAGATGGACGGACAGACGGACATGGCGAGCACAATTGTGCATTTTTTTCCGTAAATGAGAAAATCCGCTATAAATAATGAAAAGCGTTGATTACCTGCATATATTTTGAACTTTATTTATAAAATTTATATATATTTATTTGGATTAGATTGAAGAGAGTAAGATAAACATTATATTAAATGGAAAAATGACTAATGAAATCTTGTTTTAGGTAAACGGGTGCTCTTCTATATTGCCTCTGAAGTTGCAGTGAAATGACACTGGAAGGAATTGATGTGTAGGCGCTCGAGTTCCTTGAATTTCGGCAAGTATATAATGGCGTTACAAACAACATCTCAGCTCGCTTTAGTATGAGTTCGAGGCCTCAGTATTAAGAGGAAGAATGTACGTATAATTTCCAGTCTAAAAATGTGATGAAGTTTATTAGCCTTTGCAGACATTTTGTTAGAATTGTTGTGGATTTGTTCATTAGCACACCCAGAACGAACGAGCAACGGTGTGCTCTATGGTCACAATTACGGCTCTACGGAAATTAAGCTGAGTATATTGTGCGATGATAATTTAAATTGACTAGTATTGAACGCTTGCTGCGGAATCAGAAGATGTGCTCAATCAATGACGTCAATCATAATAGATTCATCTAATACCTAACATTAATTGTAGTGAGCTTTTCTGTAGGCTGAATGTACAGCGATGCTCAACCGCAGTTTTATGAGGTGGATGGGTAATTATCAAGAATCTTGAATCTTTAATAAAAAGTGGCGTTGGCAAACTCTACTCATCCTAAACATAATCTTGAGCAGAGTTTATAAACGATCAATTATCGACGTAAGAAAAGTTATCATAAATCAAATTAGTTTCTGAAAATTTAATAATGTGCGTTTGAAATTTTTTCTTGGGTTAATTAACAATTAGAATTTAACACTATTCAATTTTGAGCAAATAATGGAAATAAAATCCTTACATTTTCTGCCTGGAAAAGAAAATCTAAAAGAATTTATGTAAAACAAGAAAGTAAGGTTGAAAGCTTATCGTGGACAAGCCAAATTTTATCGCGATCCAGACTATAGCCTCGAAAGTAGAGCACGAGAAAAATAAAATGTGCTTTTGGTTATATAGCATTAACCAATTTTTTTTCACCTAGTTTAAAAAATAAATTGAAAATTGGAACTGAGTATCATGGCCGAACGTAAGCTTTTATAATTAAAATGCAGAAAATTGATCAAGAAAATATGAATGGTGAAAGTTGTTTGATTGATTTACAGATAAAAATTGTTTCAATATTTTCCATCTATTTCGAGTTTTGACTCTTCTGGTCCATGTAACTTGAATTCATGTCAATAAATTTCAAATATATTTCATCATGATAATAATTCAATAATTGCTCACATATACCGAAATCGTTACAAATAAAACCATCGAAATTCTTTCGAACCTAGTTCAATATGGGAATAAACGAAAAGATCAATCTAAAATCCGTAGATATTTTAACGAGATTCGACAGCCAATTTTCTTTGCATTTTATTACAAACTGGGAAAGAAAAATCATGTTGTGCAAATGGTTCACTTGAAGTTAATACATTTTTTTATACCATGAAGCTCCGTTTTTGTTCACTCGTCGAGTCAATGCGGCTTAAATTTATTAGAAAATAAGTTGTCTTTGTGTACAAACATTGTTAGATCATGCACAAATAAAAATGACAGGGCCGAATTGTTTTGGTACGTTGTTTTATTTTTTTTAGGTTGTTGCAAAACGAAACGAAACGAAATTGTTAAGCTTTTTTCTGAGGACTGCTGTGAATACGTTTTAATTGAACTTTTTTGTAATGCTGCGAGTGTGAACTTTTAATTTTTGGATGTTAATAAAAGTATTTAGGTAGCGTGTATGACCGATATAAAGGTCGTGACCGGAGGTCACCACGCATTTCAATTTCAATTTCAGGGTGAAGCCGTGAAATTTTAAGCACGCATGAACAATAAGGCAGGTATGCGGTAAAACCATCGTCCCAAATAATGAGCTGTTCAAGCTAAATGCTTAATTATTAATTTATGCGATGAAGCCTTTGCATACAGACGATTTTTCGAGCAGTATTTGGGATAAAATCAGTACCGCGATGTTATGGTTTACACTTAGTGCACTTCGATTGAACGATATTAAGGGAGAACTCATGTTTTTAGAAATATTATGATCAAGGAATCTTAGCTCGACAAGAGAAAATGGAAAAGAAGGCGGTATTTTATGCTTAATATTTTTTTAATTGATTAATCGGGTTTCACAATTAGTGAGAAATGATATCTGAGCTGTTTGTCCATCCATTTTGAATGTCGTCCGTTTCAATGGGTAAGCATAATTTCCTGTTACCAGAGCGTGATAGGAAACTAAATTTGGCAGCAGAAGTATATAGGAAGATATTAAATGTCGTCGTTCTTTGCATTGAATTATTTGTTTACGAATACAAATGAGAATGCAACAATGTTGTTTTTTTAAGGCTAACGACTTTTCCCCAGTGATGTTTATAGAATATTATATAAATATAGGGTATTTTATAGCATAGGTTGAGGTTTAGAACCCTCACAGCATGAATGCGTCAAAACCACTGTTATAAATTTTCAATAGTATAGCTTCTTATTCCTGAAAATATTGTTGGTGCGCTTCTTACGTTGAACTCCTTGAGCGTACTCAATTTAATTGCAGTCATTTCGTTTCTGGATTCTAAGATGCTGGTTTAACGTATTATTATTATTAATATTATTATTATTATTGAAACGTAATTATCAATGTGAAGTATTTTTATTGCGTCATATTACTATTGAGATCTTTTGTTATTAAGATGCACTATCCATGAGAAGTATTATATCACTAAGACGTTTTGT